TATGTATATTCTCCTGTTTTCATTGACTATTCTTCAAACTTTTTTTAATACCTTCATTTTATTTATTTATTTTTATGTGGTGCTGAGGATTGAATGTCTCATGTGCTAGGCGAGCACTCTGCCGCTGAGCCACAACCCCAGCCCCAAACTTTTTTTAAAAATATTTTTAGTTGTCAGTGGACCGTTATTTTATTTTTTTATATGTGGTAATGGGAATTGAACCCAGTTCCTCACACATGCTAGGCGAACACTCTACCACTGATCCACAACCCCAGCCCCCAAACTTTTTTAAAACAATAATAGGGATTAAGCTTAAGGTTGCTCTACCATGAAACTATATCACTAGCTCTTTTTAGTTTTTTATTTTGAGGTAGGGTCTGCCTAAGTTGTTAAGGTTGGCCTCAAACTTGTGATCTTCCTGCCCCAACCTCCTCAGTCATTGGGTTCATAGATATAATGATGCTTAGCTTTTTTCCCTCTAATTTGATTTTGTCTTTGTAACTACCACATAATAATTGACATTATTTATAGAGTACAGTGTGATATTTTAATATATGTATATAATGTGTAATGATCAAATCAGTGTAATTAGCATTTGCATCTCCTATCATGCCTTTATTTGGAGCCTTAAAGCTCCTCTCTTCTAGTTCTTTGTAAAATATAAAATAAATTGTTTTAAACTATAGTCACTCTACTGTGATATAAACCACTAGAATTTATTCCTCCTGTGTAACTGTATTTTGATGCCCTTTATCTATCCTCCCTCTATTCCCCTTCCTTACATGTAGTAATCACTATTTTGTTCTTTTCTTCTTTGTGATCAATTTTTTTAGATTCCCCAAATGTTAGACAACATGTGATATTTGTCTTTCTTTTTTTAATATTTATTTTTTAGTTGTAGTTGGACTCCATACCTTTATTTTATTTATTTTTATGTGGTGCTGAGGATTGAACCCAGGGGCATCGCATGTGCCAGGCGAGTGCTCTACCACTGAGCCACAACCCTAGCTCAATATTTGTCTTTCTATGTGTGGCTTATTTCACTTAGTATAATGTCTTCCAGGTCCATCAAGTTGGCAGAGGTAAAAAGATTTCATTCTTTTTTAATGGCAGAATAATATTCCACTGTCATACCACATTTTCTCTACCCTTTCACCTGTTGGTTGATTTCATATCTTGGCTATTGTAAACAGTCCTGCAATAAACATGGGCATGCATCATTTCCTTTGGCTATATACCCAGAATTAATTTAGGTATGATAATCTCCTTTTTGATATATGAATCTGAGGCCTTTTATCAATCTTTAATCTTGGAGATTTTGTGGTTATCATCTTTCTTCTCTGTAAATTTTTTCCTTTCTCCTGGGATATCTTGTTTACGGATGTTGAACACTTGTAATTCTGCCATCCATTTCTCTTTATTATTTCCTTTTTTTTTAACTGTCTTTGTCATTTGTTTTTTGGCAACTAGATGGATATCCATGTGTTCTTTTTTTAATACTGGCAGTTGAACCCAGGGGCACTTATCACTGAGCTACATCCCTAGCCCTTTTTAAAAAAATTTGATACAGTCTCACTAAGTTGCCGAGGCTGGCCTCAGTCTTGTGATCCTCTTTCCTCAGCCTCCCAAGTCACTGAGATGATAGGCCTATGCCATTGCACCTGACTTTATGTTTTCTTTATTTCGTCTCTTATGTTTTTGTACCTTGTATTTTTTTTATTGTTATTGTTGTTACCAGGAATTTAACCCTGGGGGTACTTAAACCACTGAGCCACATTCCCAGCCCTTTTTTTTTTTGTACTTTTATTTAGACACAGGATTTCACTAAGTTGCTTAGGGCCTCACTAAGTTGCTAAGGCTGGTTTTGAACTTGAGATCCTCCTGCCTCAGCCTCCTGAGCTGCTGAGATTATAGGCATATGCCACCGTACCCAGCTGTAACTTGTAGTTTTGGATCTTCTTAACAACTATTTGCTCCTTCTTTGTATTGACCAATATTCTTTCTTTTCTCTTTAAGATGTTTTTAAATACTTATTGTATGTTTTCTTTGAGTATTTGTTTGTTTAATGTGATAGATTGTTGAGTTTGTTGTCTTTATATTATTGTAGTGGAGTTTATCACACTTTCATTTGTTTTCTGTCAGCTCATATTCCTTCAGGGATATCACCTGCTTTTGCCATTATGTGGAGGGTAGGAATAATTTAAGTTCCTCTTGGTGGTAGATAGGAGTGGAAGAATGCTGCTGGTGTTATAGTCTAGGGTATAGCCACCAGACAAATACTCCCTCTCCCCAATCAGGAAATACTGCTTCTGAGGGATTCTTTCTGTTCCCAGGCCCTTGGCTTTCTTTCTTTTTTAAATTTTTTTTAATTAGTTATACATGATAGTAGAATGCATTTATGCACTTTGCTATATCATACATAGATAGGATATAATTTCTCATTTTTCTGAGTGTACATGTTGTAGAATCATATTGTTCATGCAGTCCAATATATACATACAGTAATAATGTCTGTTTCATTCTACTATCTTTCCTATCCTCACATCCCCTCCCTACCCCTCCCCTCCACCTAATCTAAGGTAACACTATTCTTCCCTAGTGCCCTCCACCTTATTGTGAATTAGTATCCGCATACTAGAGAAAACATTTGGCCTTTGGTTTTATGGGATTGGCTTATTTTGCTTAGCATGATATTCTCCAACTTCAACCATTTACTGGAAAATGCCATAATTTTACTCTTCTTTAAAGCTGAGTAATATTCCATTGAGTATATATACCATATTTTCTTTATTCATTAAAATCAACACCCATAATTCAAATGTATTCTTAGACATCAGCGATGAATACACTGAAAGAGCAATTAGGAAAACTACTCCATTCATGATAAGCCTCCAAAAAAATACCTGGGAATCAATCTAACAAAAGAGGTAAAAGACCTCTACAATGAAAACTACAGAACAATAAAGAAAGAAATTGATGAAAACCTCAGAAGATGGAAAGATCCACCTTGCTTCTTGATAGGCAGAATTAGTATTGTCAAAATGGCCATACTACCAAAAGCACTGTACAGATTTAATGCAATTCCTATTAAAATCCCAATGACATTGTTCATGGAAATAGAAAAAGCAATCATGAAACTTATTTGAAAAAATAAAAGACCCAGAATATCTAAAGCAATTCCAAGCAGGAAGAGTGAAGCAGGAGGCATCACTATACCAGACCTTAAACTATACTACAGAGCTATAGTAACAAAAACAGCATGGTATTGGTGCCAAAATAGACTTGTAGACCAATGGTACAGAATAGAGGACACAGAGACAAACCCACATAAATACACTTATCTCATACTAGACAAGGGCACCAAAAACATGCACTGGAGAAAAGATAGCCTCTTCAATAAATGGTGCTGGGGAAACTGGAAATCCATATGTAGCAAAATGAAATCAAACCTCTATCTCTCACCCTGCACAAAAATCAACTCAAAGTGGATCAAAGACTTAGTCACTAGAACAGAGACCCTGAGCCGAATAGAAGAAAAAATAGGCCTTGGCTTTCTTTACTGTCATTATCCAACGGAAAAGGAGTGGGGGAAAACAGATCTGTTGGGGGCCAGTACTTGTCACTTTCAGCTTCACTGCTTGGCCCTCTTCCTGCCTCTGGCCAATTTTTGTCCTTTTTCTACCCTGTATCAGTGATGGGATAGATTCAGAAGGCATTCGTGTGATTTGATACTTTTTTTTTTTTTTAACAATGTGACAAGTGTACACACTGAGAAGATGCCACTATGATTTGCCTGGCATTTAGCTGACTCTGATGTGCTTGTAATGAATATGCTTGCCAGAAGCAGCTGCATGCAGCACGGGGTGGAGAGTCGGTGGTTTCAAATTTGGTGTATAATGTATTTGAATGTGTGTGTTTTTTTTTTTTTTTTTTGTACTGGGGATTGAACCCAGGAATACTTAGCCCCTGAGCCACATCCTCATCCCTATTTTGCATTTTATTTAGATACAGGGTCTCACTGAGTTGCTTAGCACCTAGATTTTGCTGAGGCTGGCTTTGCACTTGTGATCCTCCTGCCTCAGCCTCCTGAGCTGCTGGAATTACAGGGGTGCACCACCACGCCTGCCTGAATGTATGTTATTTTTTTTTAAATATTTTTATTAGTTGATGAATTTTTTAATTTATTTGTATGTGGTGCTGAGAATCGAACCCAGTATGTCACACATGCTGGGCAAGCACTCTACTACTGAGCCACAACCCCAGCCCCTGTTATTTTTAAGATTACCTTTAAAATTAATCTATTTAAAATACAAGTCTAATCAAATGGAGAATCTCTGAATCACCTCTGTGGAATATGGTCTGCTTCTAGAAACGTTTATTAACAGTGGGGATTTTGATGTATAGAACAGGGCTTTGTTCAAAACATGCATTCTATACATCTTTGTTATTATATCTTAAATATTTTATTAAATGTTTATGCCTTTAATATTTTAAAAATGTTTTATTAAATGCATTTTATTTTTGAAGTATTTTATTGAATATTTTATTTTTATAAACATTTGTATCTTTCTTTAAAGGTTGATGGACTTTTATTTTATTCATTTATTTATATGTGGTGCTGAGAATGATCCCAGTGCCTCACACATGCCAGGCAAGCACTCTATCACTGAGCCACAACCCCAGCCCCAACATTTGTATCTTAAGTACTTTGTGTTACACCTAAAATTTCCTAAGTATTTTAAAAAATTAAATTTATGAAATAAGATTAGTGTATATTAAATATTTTATATTTATAATTAGTCTTCAAGAATATATCAGTAGGGGCTGGGGCTAGTTGGTAGAGTGCTTACCTTGCATTCACAAGGCCCTAGGTTCAATCCCCAGCACTACAAAAAAAAAAAAAAAGAATATATTAATAGACAAGGTAAAGTTAGTAAGACCATATCTTGGTGTTTATTTTTACTTGTGAAATAGTATATTAACCTTTTTCTTGTTCATAGGCTAAAAGGTCAGATTCCTGAAATTAAGCAGACTCTGGAGATTCTAAAATACATGCAGAAGAAAAAAGTAAGTGCATTTTTCTTTAAAATACAAGTAAACCAGGATATATTAGCAGAGTTTCATCTTCCTTGATTCTTTGGTATTTGATCTGTGCTGTAGGATCCATTCTTCCTTCTTGAGCATATACACTAATGTACCAGAATTTTGTGTAAAAATTGTGGCTTTGTGACTTTTCCTTAAAAGGCTAGCACTTGGATTACTTTATTTATATGTAGTGTTTACAAAATTTAAATATAATCAGAAAATGTTTTAAGTTATTTTGAGGTGGTAACATCACAGTTTTCTTTTTTGGGGGGTGGGTGGGTAAAAGGGATTGAACTCAGGGGCCCTTGGCCGCTGAGCCATATCTGTATTTTATTTAGAGACATGGTCTCACTGAGTCACTTAGCTCCTTGCTTTTGCTGAGCTGGCTTTGAATTCGCGATCCTCCTATCCTCCTGCCTCAGTTTCCTGAGCATCTGGAATTGTAGGCATGTACCACCACACATGGCCAGTTGTTTTGTTTTTTTTTTTTTCATAGTGATGGTTGTCCTCCCTAAGAATAAGGAGTAAGCCCAAGATTTATAGAGCTTGAAAAAATCTTAAGAGATTACCATTTTCAGGTTCTTATTTCACAGTTTAGGAAATAACTATTTAGAGGTTAGTTATGCTTAGTTGGTTTCACATAGCTACTTAGTACTGGAAGAACTAATTTTGAGTCTTCCAAGTCTCAATTCAGTATTCATTAAATAAAATCAGGCTGTAAAGATTAAATTTAAAAAAAATATTCATTTTTTAGGGCTGGAGATGTGGCTCAAGTGGTAGTGCGCTCGCCAGGCATGCGTGCAGCCCGGGTTCGATCCTCAGCACCACATACAAACAGGGATGTTGTGTCCACCGAAAACTAAAAAATATTAAAAAATTCTCTCTCTCTCTCTCTCTCTCTCTCTCTCTTTAAAAAATATTCATTTTTTAGCTTTAGGTGGACATAATATCTTTATTTTTATGTGGTACTAAGGATCGAACCCAGTGCCTCACACATGCCAGGCGAGCGTGCTACTACTTGAGCCATATCCCCAACCCCAAGATTAAATTTTATAAGAATATTGTTTTGAACAGATTGTGTACACATGTGATTTATTATTTGAAGAATAACTAGATTTCTATTAGATTATTATATGTGGTGAATTTTTTGAGAGACTTCAGAACCTGAATTGGGCATGAAGCACTGATGAAGTAAAAATAACAGCTAATTCTTCTATAATATTGATATAATTTATATATGCCAGGCACTGTTCTGTGTGTAAGCATTAGGGAAGTCAGTGCTTACCTTTGCCTTTGCCCTGGTACTGGGAATTAAACTCAGGAGCATTCTACCTCTGAGTTATAGCCACAGCTCATTTTATTTTTTATTCTGAGACGGGGTCTCACTAAGTTGCCCACGTTAGCCTGGAACTTGGAATTCTATTGCCTTAGCACCCCTCAAGTCACTGGGATTATAGGTGTATGCCACTATACTGGCTGTGCGAGGATGGTTATTTTTTAATTTTATAGGTGAGGAACATGAGGCATGGAAAGATTAAGTGAGATGCCAAAATTTACACAGCTGGTAAGTAGCTGAACCAGAGTCCATGCCCAGCCATCTGGCAGTAGTGTTCATTTCTTTTACCTTTACCTTTACATTTAGTTCACATGATGGTATTGTTTTAAATGTCTTAGGTCCAGCTATGGAATTTCTTCTTTATAACTTTGATATCAAACTGGTTTGTTTTTGGCACTGTCATTTTTTTTTTTAAAGGAGTCCACCAGTTCACTAGAGACCAGATTCTTACTGGCAGATAACCTGTACTGCAAAGCTTCGGTTCCTCCTACTGATAAAGTTTGTCTGTGGTTGGGGGTAAGTAAATGCTGTAGCCACAGCTGACGTATTTGTAAACCAGTGTGTTTTGCATAGCAAAACAGTATTGCTTGAGATGTGTAAAAGTGTTCCCTCATTGTGGAAGGAAGGAAGGGACAAACATTTTTTTGTAAGGGAGATATAGTTCAATCTGTTATAACTTATTCCTTATAAGGTTACATTCACAGGCACCAGGGGTTAGGATTTCAGTGTATGTTTTGGGTTTACACAGTTCAACTCATAATTACATTTTAATTCACCCTCAGTTCTGTCCTTGCCTTCCTAAATTTTTTCTAGCACAGTGGACAGAGTGATCCATTAAAATCTGTGAAGTGATTCCATATTCTCTCCAAAAATTTCCAGTGGTTTCTCATCTCATTCTGAGGAAAAGCCCAAGTTCTTTGAATGGCTTACAAATGCCTCCACAGTTTGGTACTCCTTGATACTTCTCTTGCGTAATACCTTACTTCCTTGGTTGGCTACACTTAGACTTCTTGCTTGACCTAGACAATGCCTGGAATGGCCCTGCCTCAAAGATTTTATTCTGGCTCTTTCCTCTACTTAAGTTGCTAGATTTAAACATATCAGATTATGTTACTAGGACTTTAGTAGTTTCCCCTGTCATAAGCTAGTCCCACTTCCTCTCTGGCACTACTTGACTTTTCACTTAGCATTACATACCTTTTCTTTTGAGTAGTATTAGGATTTGCTGCTTGGTTTTGTTGGCTTCTTGTTATTGTGTGGCAGGGCTATGGCATAATAATAATATTAGGTTGTTTTTATGTTTGTTTTAGAGGGAACAGTGCTATATAAAAAAGTGCACATATAAAATATTTATTTTTTGTATACGCTTTAATTTTTTTTTTCTGGGAATTTAACCAAGGGCCTCACTCATGCTAGGCAAGTGCTCTACCACTCAGCCATGTCGCTAGCCCTGTATGCCACTTTGAGATGGAATTGTTGGGTCTAACAATAAACGTGTGTGTGTATACACACACACATGCACACACAACACAAAACATTTAATATTTTGAAAGATACTGCCGCATTGCTCTCAACAAAGACTGTACCAATTTACATTTTTCTCCCACAGTGTATAAAGTATCCTTTATACATTTAGATTTATACATTTAGATTTTATACATTTAGATTTTTGTTAATTTTATACATGGAAATGCTATCAAAATTTTTTGTTTGACAAAATGATCATTTGTATTTCTCTTCAATTTGCCTGCCTGATTATGTCCTTGCTATATTTTTCTGTTATAGTCTTTGTTTGCTTGTTAATAGATATTTAGATCTTTATATATTATGTATTTGGGATACAGTCTTCTTTTATATAATGCAGATATTTTTTATGAGGTTTTGCTTGTCTTTTGTTTATGGTACTTCTTATAGAGAACTTTTAATTTTTTTAAAAAGATATATTATTAGTTGTTGATGGACCTTTATTTATTTGTATGTGGTGCTGAGGATCGAACTCAGTGCCTCACACATGCTAGGCAAGCATTCTACCACTGAGCCACAGCCCCAGCCCTTGAGAACTTTTCATTTTTAATGAAATAAAGTTCATTAAGCATTTATGATTTCATTTATGTTAACTGCACTCCTTTCACTCAGTTCATAAATATATAAATAGGTTTCTGATATTTTTTGCTCAAATACTCATTTGTTGAGGATCATGTGAAAAGGCAAGCTACTCAATAGAATAAGGGGTATATAAAATAGTTTTTTCTGAGAAGAGAATACCCAGTGGCCAGTAGCCACATGAAAATTGTTTAGCTTCATTAGCAAACAGGGAGATGCAAATTAAAAGCACTGTGCATTTGCATTTTGCACTTACCAGAATGGCAGGGCAAAACAGAGTAAACATCACTAATTCCCCAATCTGAAATCCTGAATGCTCCAGCGTCTAAAATTTTCTCTTTTGTCATCTCCTTCTGTATGTCAGAAGTCTAGATGTACCTGGATGGGTCCTCTGGTCAGGTTCTCACAGGGCCAACATTAAAGTACCAGGAAGGATGTACTCCTTATTAGAAGCTTGGGGGTGATTCCACTTCAGTCTCATTCAGATTGTTGTCAGATTGTAGTTCTGTGTGGTTGTAGGTCTGAGATCCCTGTTTTCTTGGATCCCTGGCTTCTAGAGGCCACCTACATTCCTTGGCTCTTAGACATTTTCTGTCTTTAAAGAAGCAGTGAATATCGTCTTAAACTTCAAATCTTTCCAGCTTTTCCTTCTGCCACTAGAGAAAGTTCTCTGATCTGAAGAGCTCATGTAATTACATTAGACCTATTCAGGTAATACCCATTCATTAGCATTAACAGACAAATGATATACCTCATCAGATTCAAATGTTCCAGGGATTAGGCTAGGACAATGTGGGTTTAGGGAGTCCTAATTCTGTATACTGCAGAAATCAGTCATGAAAGAACACATACTATTTGATTCCATTTGTGTAAAGTTCAAACATAGGCCAAATTACACTGTTAGAAGCCAGAAAAATGATTCCCTTTGGGATTAAGATGTTGGTGATTTACTGGAAGGATCCATGAGGAGCCTTCTGGAATGCTGATGAACATGTCTTCATTGATCTAGATGCTGGTCCCATGGGTGTTATGAGTTTGTGAAGATGCATAAAGTTGTATGTTTATGATGTGCAAACTTTTCTATATGTATATATGTTTACATATAGACAAAATAAGATAACTGCACAAAACAAATTACAAGTTAATTTGTTACCAGTCAGGGTTCCACTAGAGAAACAGAACCAGTAGGATATGGCTAGCCTACATATAAACTTGTGTACTAACATACAAGTTGGTGTGTGTATTTGTGTGTAATAACTCATGAATTCATAGTGTTCTTTCCAGTTCAAATTCAGGGCAACAGAGGTTTTTTTTGTTTTTGTTTTTGTTTTAATATTTATTTTTTAGCTTTAGGTGGACACAATATCTTTATTTTATTTTTCTGTGGTGCTGAGGATCGAACCCAGTGCTTCACGCATGCCAGGCAAGCGTGCTACTACGTGAGTCATATCCCCAGCCCCGGCAACAGAGTTTTTACTCAACTTGTTCCTCTGTTTCTTCTGTATTCTATATTGAGAGTATCTGGTTCTCAAAGTACCAGAGGTGATAGAATTACACTATGTAATATTATTCATTTGTTTTATACCTTATCATACAAAAAATGTTCTTAGAATAACATGACCAAATGCTATTACAGGAATGTTTTTCATGTATTCTTTCTGTCCTTTCCTATTCTTTACAGGGATGTGCTCATATTATTCATAATGGTGCCCAAAGCCATTATGTACTCTGCTTGCTCTCTTGCTTACTTGTGCCCTTCATTTACCCTTGTTCTCTCTGAAAATATGTATAGAATGCATATCATCATACTGATATTCCCCTAGTTATTTTGGTCGTCTGATACTCTACTACATTCCTTCAGATTTTGGGACACAATATTCCTTGAGTTCTCAAATGTTACTAACAATTATTCTGTAGCCTTTGTACTTAAAAATCACTCTTGCTGAATATAAAACCCTCAGCTCACATTTTATATCCTTGAACACTGTATATTTTGCTCCATTTTTTTGTCATAACGTGTTTCTCAAAAAGTTTTGATGACAAACCAATTTTCTCCCCTTAATAAATGACTTATTTTTTTTGTCTGGGTATCAAAAAGACTTCTGGGTCAATTTGCCCAGGTATATAGTGTGCCCCTTCATTTTGTGTGTGTGTGTGTGTGTGTGCACGCACTGCGCGATGTGTGCACAAGTGTGCATGTGCATGAAGGCATGTGTGTTGCAGTAATTCAGGTGCAGGTCAGCATGAGATAGAAAGAAGAAGCAGAGCAAGCAAAGCTGCAGCAGAAAAAAAGTCCTTTATTGTGTACAGCAATCTTTTTATAGTCTTGTGAACAAAGAAGGCAGCCTTCCAACAGCAATAAATCAGGTCTTTCAGCTAATTAAACATAGCACACAGAAGTTTTACTTTCTAATCAGAAGTGACCCGCTTCTCATGGCTAATCTACTCTCAGCCTGGAGTATGCTGAGCTTTGCTCTTGTTAAGAACAGATAATAAAATTTTTCTCAGCGCCCTCCTAGCCCACTTGGCAGAACATCCCGTTTGCAGGCAAGTCCTCCCAAGGACGGCAGACACCTTGTTTTCAAGCATGTCTGCTGTTACCTTATCTAAACCGTGAAGGAGCCTCTCATTTTCGAGCAGGCCCTCCCAAGGACAGCAGACACCTCCTTTTCAAGCATGTCCGCTGTTACCTATCTACACCTTGACAGAATATCCCGTTTGCAGGCAGACTCCATCAAGGACAGTAATAGTAACACAGTCACATCTGATTCTCTACACATGTGCCTGTGTTTGTGTGATATTTTAAGAACATTTTGTTGAAATGAACTGTTCAGAATTTTTGTTTTTAGTGCCATCTTTGGTTTTCTTTGGGAATTCCTATTATGTTTATGTTCAGTCTTTGCCTGTGTTCCAACTCTTGTCACTTTCTCTTTAATCCATTTTCTCCATTCTTTTTTTAAATATTTTTATGAAATTTCCTCATATTCTGTGAATCTTAAGGTTTTGTATATTATAAATATTTGCATCTGTCTTTCTTCTAGTTTAGTCATATTTTCTGAAGTAAATGTTTTTTTTTAATATTTATTTTTAGTTTTAGGTGGACACAATATCTTTATTTAATTTTTACATGGTGCTGAGAATTGAACCCAGTGCCTCACGCATGCCAGGCGAGCGCGTTACCACTTGAGCCACATCCCCAGCCCAAGTAAATGTTTTTTTATTTCTAATTCTTTTCTGAATTCTGTCACCTTATCTGAATTTTCTAATTCTGGTTTTATGTTTGTCTTTTCCTATCTTGTATTCATTTTCTTAATGTTATTATTTGGATACCTTATAGTTTTCACTTATTTTGTTGGAATGTCTGTTTTGCTTACATTGTAAAGATGTTATTCTGTTGCTTATTCTCTTTCTTT